GGAAGAAATCGTCACTGCTTGCCAGCTCATCATATTCTGTGCGAACACCACATCTGGACTTGAACAACCGCCAAGAGGACCGCGGGACGCCGCCACACAAAGCCCATCGCACCTTACCCACTACGGCTTGTCAGACAGATTCGCGTTATCACTGCAACAGAGATTGAACGAATCTCGTGAATGGCTAGCTCGGTATTTCGCGGTTGCCCGCTCTCACTTCGGGCGTGCACGTGGGATAATCAGCTGGGGCATGCTTTTGGGCGGAGGGTTACCGTTGGTTTGCTACCACGGTGATCCAGGAAGGTGTCCTTTTATAAACGAGAATGGAAGAGGAGGAGGGGGGGGGAGGGGTGTCTTCATGGGCCCGTCTTTCACTTCATACTGCACTGCACTTCGGTGTGGCATTTGATGGCGCTTGAGGGAGCTGTTGCCCAGGGATAGCGCTGGTTCCCCACAGTGTTGGGGGCCTAACACTTGCACCGGGGGAGGGGAGGGGGGGGGGCAGCCTTGCCCACGTGACGTAAGGGAGACGTACCCGGTGAGAACCCACTAATCACGCACTTCGCTACCTTCCCACGTGTTCTAGACCTATTCCGTTGATCAGCACGGGCATTCCGCTGTGGTTTAGCTCATGAAGTACATTTTGTTAGGCGTCGCTTCCATCTCGCTAGAATTTAGCATCCGCGACACCCATGCTCCCCAGGGGGTTGCTTGTTGCACACTAAGAGCAGCAAGACGTTAGGCCAACGCTTCCTTCTTTTTCTTTTCCATTAAGCGCTGTGACCGTATCATACCGAAGAGATCCTGTTGCGCGGTGTTGAGTTAAGACGTATATGACTTAATGCACCGAAATGTCTTGTCTCACTCAATTACCTCCTTCTCTCATACTATTCTTTCATTCTGTCTTCTATCGTGCCTTCGGCGGGGTCAACCTGGTTGCTACAATCGGCTTACCGCATTACAGATGCTCAATTATGTGCACCTCAGGGGAAATAGGGGCAAAAATTCGGTGCGTGAGGGGCGAAAATTGCGAATGGGAAGGCACGCGAAAATCGGGTAGAAGAGCTGGGAGATCGAAATACAAGTGCAAATTTTCGTTAAAAAACTTTTTGAATGGGCTTTTGCGTATCAGCGCATAAATTTAACCGTACAGGCAGTAGTGATAGGTGGCGTTTTTGCGTTTTTCAGGGATGATGGAGCATGCGAATTCGGCGGAAATCGAGCGGGAGGCGCTGGTGATGAACGGTGATGTGAGTGCCGGAGCCGCGAACAGCGCACCCGGCTCACCGGCAGTGGAAGCGAGCGGTAGCGCCAGCCCGATGGTGCTCTTTGGCAAGGAGACGGAACCCGAGAAGGTGGCCTGCAGCGATCACAGCGAGCAAAGAAGCAGCTCTGCCGGTACTGGTTGCCTCATGCACTGCTTTTTGATCTGTTGCCAGAAACCCGCTTTGTGCTGCAGTTTGATCTGTTTACGACCACTGCATGATGCATGTTGCAGCAGCAGCAGCAGCAGCAGCTGAGCAACAAGTCCAGGATGCGCGAGATTCGAGCGACTCAAAGCGCAAGTTTCGCGTGCTGGGGCTAAAATTTCCCGGCGAATGGACCAACAATGAGAAGTTCCTGGAATTGCTGGAGCGGAGCGAATCCTTTCATATGTGGTTTGAAAAAAACCTCAGAGGTACTTTTTTCACCTCATTTATTTGCATGCTTTTTCCTCGGTTCATTTTCACTCGCTTTTTTTTCACGGGTTTTTCCTCAGTCATATGTGGGGTGTCCGTGTTGAGGTCTCTCAACCGGTGCGTTCAAGAAGCGCCGAAGAATTGGCAAAGGCGGTTGCGGGCATTTACTGCATATGGAGCAGTGTTGATGAAATCAGGGGCTAAGCGTCAAGAGCATCTCTTTCTGTTGGGCACTGATTACTGCTGGCTGTGGCTTTCGATACTCATACCCATTCCGTCGGGTGGATTCGTGCTTAATTCTAGTGAGGCATTGTTAAGAAATAATAGACCAACAGGACTGTACGCAAGCCAAGTGTATGGTGTTATTTTATGGTGCAAACTGTCTTTATCTTTTAAATGTAGTGGGGTGATATTTTTCAATGCAGTCTGTGTTTCATCCCTTAGCTGTAAACACAGACCGAACTATGCATGCGGGTGGCAGTGGGGAATCGTCAGTAGAGCCTCCTACCCGCCTTGTATTGAAAAGGCATGTAACTAATTTGCTAGAAGGATGAGTGAAAGGAAAAGATAGAGAAAGAAGGAGAGAAAATATTAATATCATGAAAGAGGTAGGAGTGATAGAGCAGTTGGAAAAGGAGGAAACTAACATATAATAAGGATAGTAATTGTGTTCCGTCCAAATCATCACGATCTGTGTGATGATCATCAAGATCTGTGTGATAATCATCACGATCTGTGTGATGATCATTTCGGATCGAGCAAATCATCAGCTGTGTTTTTTTTTTTGAAAGAAACTTGCTTGTGCCTGTGAATTCTGCTCTATGCCATGTCATTACTTGCAGTCCCAACATTGATCAGTTGTAGGGCTAGTTCCTGCACATTCATTTTAAAGTGTATTTCATTTGGATTTGGTCCATTGGTTGTTAGTTGTAAATAAATGGCCAGTGCACCGATTGCCGGTGCGAATATGCGTTTTTTTCCATAGTTCCCTGCAGTTTTTGTCGCTGCCAGCACCGGTTTTTCCGGCAAATGCTTCTAACTAAGAGAATTGAGACTGGCCACCAGGGCTGTCTGAAAACACCCCTTCAGAATTTCAGTTTTCTAATTTTCTTAGTTTCCGAGTTGGCAAATTATCCAAAAAAAAAAAAAAACTTTGGCGGGCCCGTACGTAGGTACCACGCGGATAAGAGCGCCGATTTTGGGGGTTGGGGGCATGTAGATTAAGTTCCCAAAATTTCAGCACTGTAGCTTTTGTAGGTCTTGAGATGAAAAGTCGGTACAGGCGCACAACACACACAATGACAACCCCTTGTCAATATGTGCTTTCTGCATTGCATAGATGCAAAAAAAAAAACAAAAATGCTGGCTTGGTGGGCACTGCTGTGGTAGTTGCTAGTTTGCTTGGCATGTTATAACATCGTTTTTATTCAGGTGGTGTGAAGCAGGGCGGCCTGAGCGTGATGTATGAGACAGCCGAAGAAGCGAAGCAAGCATTCGCCAGTGTTCAGAAAATGACGTTTGACGGGATGACGCTGAAACTGCAAGCATCGAAGCTCTTTTGTTCGTACATTTTTACGACTGTTCATGTGTACTTTGGTGTGTTTCCAGAGCGAGTGCCATCGCACAAGACTGGCATCCATTCGGTTATTTTTCCGAATGAATTTCTCCTGCCTAAGGCCATTAGGCACACTCACCAGCAGTTAAAATCTTGCCCCCTCTGTAGCTGCATTTATTCTGCCTATCTTTGTTGTGTGTGAAATAGTCTAATTTGCTGGGAAAAATCTGGCCTTCCTCCTTTGACACCAGTGGCGTTCGAGTGGTGGAAAAGCATCAACTTTCTTCCAGTCGCAAACAAGCACGAACTTCCCACGGCTTCATGTGATTGTTGTTTTAAACTGATTCACTGTTTAGGATCAGTGTTTCTTGATATATATATATGTATATATATATATATATATATATATATATGTACATATATATATGCCGGAAATTTCAGATGATCCCTTGCCAAGTGCGCGTCACGTGCAGCAGCAGCAACAGCAGCAAACGATGCCTTTCGAACCAAATTTTGCTGATTCTGCAAGACGTCTCTACGCTCTCCATCTAACACTTGCAACCGATCAGACGTTGCTTTCATCAATATTTGGCAGTGAATGCATCGAGGCTGTGCAGATCCGCGCCGATCCATTTATACACTCCGAAAAACAAGCTGAGGTTTGCTTTTATCGATGAGCCCAGTTGAGGCTAATACGAAAAGTGGACTGTGTTTTGTCTCTGTGACATGGGCTCAGTTAAAATCATTGCGAAAAGTAAGCTGAAATTTGCCGGTATCGAATGAGGGGAATGGCTGTTTCAGACTTTTTTGTATTATGTGTCACAGATTACGAGATAAATTCAGATTGTGTTTCGCACGGCGGAAGAAGCGAACTACGCACTCATTGAGCTTGCAGATGGCTTCGAAATTGATGAGGGCGATCGACAGCTCACAATGAGGTAGCTCGCTTTGGTTTGCCCTTTGAATACTGGTGACACCCGTTGCATTCTAGCAGTGCCAAATGCGCAGTCCCTTACTAATCCGCTCGATTGTTGGCTTTTGTGTGACTACACCTCACTGCCCGGTATCGTACGCTGGATGTTCTGGCCGATGCAGTTGAGAGGTCCAAAGTGGAAATTTGTAGCACTCTGATCTTTATCGTTTTTCTCATTATCTGCTTTCAGGTTGCTGACTACCGATGAATACGTGAGCCATATGAGGAGCGAGCAAGAGAGAGTTAGTGGCCGGTTGCCTGCGGTAACAAGCAGTGCTCCCGGCTCCGTATCATCCTCCACGTCGCCTTCTGCAGCAGCTTCCGCTCCTTCCGATTCGTCTGTTGCGCAGTTTGTTCCTGCTGCAGAGATTACGGAGGAGGATGTAACCGGATTCCTGCAGCAGGTTTGTTTTATTTCCCGCGTTTTCTGTCGTCCGCTATATCTCATATTGTTATCAAATCTCGGTGCTTTTCTAGCTGACCAGGCTTTTCGCTGGTATTTGCATTCGTTAGTAATATTGCAATAAATTAGCTGTAGAAAACAGTACGGGATGGAGGTTGAGGAGGGAAGGAAGCAAGAGAGAGAGGGAATGGCATGTAGCATACAAAAGATGTGTTCATTCTGCGGTTTTTTAGCACGTTGACACGTCACGCACAAACTGGGCTGAGCTGAACGACGCAAATGAGCTGTGGAAGTTGTGCGATGAGGTAAGTGAGTTGCACAAGGGCATCCCGGATTCACTGCTTCACGTAGCGATGCTGAACGTTCTGGATCGCTATCGCCGTACCCTAACAACCCACTGGATGCGACAGCATGTTGATGAACTCGTCAGGTAACACTCCTCGCTTGCTTCGATTACACATCGCTTTCTTACCCGCCGCCGCCGCCGCCTGTGTATTTCAATTTTCCTCTCATTTATTTCCCTCTATGCTTTCCACGTTGCCCCTTTACCGTTTAAGCGTCATGCCTGTCCTCTTTCACAGACTGCAAGTATTAATCGCGTGCAGCGAGTACTGGCCATTTATCCACATTTTTATTGTGAATCTAAACAGAAGTCGCATGCTGAAGCAAATTTACTTGATCGACCCACCATGACTGCTCGAGCTTCGGTGATGGGTTGATCGGCTTTTTTCCGTAGGGGCGATATGTCAGTGACGTTTTGGATTATTGTTCTGCCTTCTTCCGGCCTAGCAGCATTCTATCGTTGCTCATGCGTTTTTTTTTTTTTTTTTTGGTTCTAGTGTTACCTCTAATTGCACTTTTCTGCGTAATTTTAAATTGGGTGGTAAGGAGACTCAGAATCATCAGAATAGAGTGTAGAAAAATCTGACAGCTTTCGTCGATGGATGCTAAATTCAGCTAAAATTGGAGAGGAAGAGGTGGGGGGGGGGGGGGGGGGGGGGGAAAAGGGGGGG